GGGCAGATTTATCTCACATGTTTTATTTTCATGACTCTTTTAATCAGAAATAAACTTCTGCAATTTTCAGGCACCCTTATTGCAGCCAAATCCCTACATATTTGTTTCCAAAGACTAATAGTGGAATTCAGTTTAGAAAAATTAATTCCCTATTACCAATCCTGGATTATGAACGAAGATAATTGTCAAACGTTACTAAGAACATAGTAGGCACTGACACCAACATGGAAATTGCTTTGATGTTAATTAGTGAAACACACAGCAAAAAATAATAACAGAATCATGCAGACTTCGTATTTCTGTTTTTCATATTTACTAGGGTCTTAAGTCAGAGTCTCAGTGGCATAAAACATCGCATATTTCTTTCTGTTGTTTAGAAACTCAGACAACCACCTTGTTGCTGGGTCTACCGAAGGTTTTCCAGTTGTATCTTGCTGATGTTATCAGCTACTGAATTTGTTCCTAACTGCCGTTACGTGACTTTTTTTCTTGATATTTTACAGCTTAAAGAACTTTCAGATGAAAAGTAGATATTTTATATACACCCATTAACATTTTCTCACCCAGCAATGTAGAAGCAATTTACAAAACCTAGACACCGAAAGACATGGTCTGAAAACAGGAGAGTAACCTTCAACATTTACATGTTTTATATCATTCCATAAAGAAGAAAACTGCTTTAAAATTACTATCCACTCTGAATTACTAAGACAAATCAAATATCTTTATCCCTGTTTTAGACAACTTACCAAATCCTTGGACGTCATATTATACAGAATGCTATTTAATTTCAGCATTACTTTTTTTCCCATTTCTATATGAGATTATAAGGACGTAATGTAATGCAAAGACTAGAGCATACTAATTTGGAAATTAATATACATTTCTTCACAGAGATGTGTACAAAAAACTGCAATAGAGAAAAGCAGACTGTACCATGCTGTTTGTAGATAGGAGGTTTCCTATAGATGTTATCTTTTACGCCAGTGTCTGAGGAAGAGAAAAGAGAAAGGAAAGGAAAGAATAAAAGAGTAAGCAAGCAGTTCAGACCATAGAATCACAGAATGGTTCAGGTTGGAAGGGACCTTAAAGACTAACTGGTTCTAAGCCGGTGCCATGGGCAGGGAAACCTTCCACTAGACCAGGTTGCTCAAAGCCTCATCCAGCCTGGCCTTGAACACTTCCAGGGATGGGGCATCCACAGCTTCTCTGGGCAACCTGTTCCAGTGCCTCACCACCCTCTCCATGAAGAACTTCTTCCTGATATCTAATCTAAACCTCCCCACTTTCAATTTAAACCCGTTACCCCCTGTCCTGTCACTACAGGCCCTTGTAAAAAGTCCCCTCCCAGCTTCCTTGTAGCCCCTTCAGGTACTGGAAGGTGCTATAACGTCTCCCCAGACCATGCTGCTCTTGTCTCTTCTCAACAACATTATAATGCAAACATCTGAGAAAAGACTAAGCACTCATTCACTGGTTTGTCATTCACTGGATATTACAAAAGAATAAAGCCTTACCCATAATATTTGCATATTTAAAACATTGGCTATAACGACCTATGCAGCACAATCTCTCCTAAGTCCCTCAAAATGCTTTAAGGCACCTCAAGTGGTATCTGTTTACTGAACTGTAGGTGGTTATATCTGCACTACCAATGTATACTTCAGAGGCAACAAAGAGAAATTGTCTACACTTGTTATTATTTAAAATTCATAGGAAGGTACAACAGGCGACTATGATAGTCACACTTGGGAAGGGACTTTCTCCATCAGTTGTGAAGAAAGTGTACATGTTCAGATATAGATGTTTATACTGGAATGCCCAATATTCTTATAGGAAATACTGTAGTTTGTCTCTGTTTTAAATTGTATAGCTGACCTGGCCTTCCAGGAATTTTTTGAAAGCCCACAGAGCCACAGTCCAGGGTACTCATATCATCTTGTAGAGACATCAGATTTACTGAGCATTACAGATGTAATTCCTAATTATGGTGTGTTCATAAAAATGTTAATCCCAGAAGCTAAACAGAAATAAACAAACTATTCCACTGAACAGATAGGTATGCTTAGCAGTCAAGAAGCTCAGCAGTGTAGACATAAATTTAATGTGCTTGTAAACTGAATATGGACTTGAAAACAGTATAGTACATATGCAAAGACACAGCCACAGCAAGCTTCCAGGTGGGCTAAAGTCCGTCAGCTACTTTTGAAGTTTATGTTAATGTGACACTTTAATTCAGAGATGAAATGGGCAAGGAAAAAGACATAACTGAAACCCCCTTCAGCCTTTCCTCTTCCATACAAATTCAACAGATCTATGCAGCTGTAGCACTGTAAATATTTATATCTTTGTAGGCTTAATAACATTTGTCACCTTGTGCCTGCTCTAACATTTTTTTTAATATACATAAGCACACAGCTCTCTTACTCCCTTGTTTCTGAGACCAAGTTTAACAGTTAGATTTTTTACTCATCAGACATTCTCTTCTCTTGCAGTTCGAAGTTCACAAATCATTGAAAAAAAATTACATTCATAAGAGAATAAACAGGTGCCAGCAATTGATAATCAAAAGCTAAGCAGTGAGTGCCTACCTGGAATATGGAAATGCCTAGGAGCCTGCTGATAGACAGAAGGTGAAGATTTGCTGTCTGAGTACATGGATAAGCTTGGAGTGCTCCGACCACTTTCACTGCCTCCAAGGGGAAGAGCAAAGAAAGCAGATAAAAGAAAAAATGGAAAGCAAAGTAGAGTATTTCAAGCATAAAAGCTTGTTCGGAATGACTTGTTAATCCAACAGTTTTAAATATATGTATTTTGTAAAACCCATTATTTTTCAGCACAGTGTATTGGCTCAGTCTCCAAAATTCTCATCAGTGATGAATATCTGATAGATAATATCAGATTAAACTGCCCCACTTTGAAACTAAAGCTTCTCTTTTAAAAACACTTTAATGAAGAAAACAAAAGTATAAGAGCATCCACAATCTTGTGTTGTGTTTTGCATAGCCTTAACTGAAAAAATCTACTAATCAAGTTTCTGAAAAGTTTAACGGTATGGCTCACAGCCTGTCCCTGAAACCAGTAATGAAATTATTCAGTAGTGTTTAAATTATCTCAAAGCAGGACTAGAACAATAAACAGATGTTATGGTTAAATCAAATATTCCTGTATATATCAGTGACAAAACCAGATGTTAAAATCTGGTTCTTATCTGCAAACTTTTCCCACAGGTAACATGCCACTGCATTTTATATTTATGCAAACAAGGTTGGATTATCAAGTCATGGGTCTATAATGCCATAGTCACTTCACCAAATTTCAGAATATACATAGGATTGATCCGTATTCATTTTTTCACTTGTTATGTCAAATACTCATTAGGTGCCATTCATTTCCTCCTAGCTTATTTCCCCGAAGCACACTCTATGGCATTATAGTGCTGCTTGGCAAACAAAAAAGTAAAGCTCTACTTTTTTGGGACTTGTAAAATCCAATTAAGTTACAGCACTGTTAAGCAACTGGAAGCCAAACATGACATTTATTCTAATATAAAGTGGTTTTTAATTCACTGTTATTGTTTTAGTGTGGATGGAACACAAACTTAATGGCTAGTAACGATGAAATTATAGCCAGGTCTTTTGGGGGGTAAAGAAAGAGCAGCAGCTCAGAGCACTAGACCTGCAACTGAGTTCTGCCTTCAGGGAGGGAAGTTTTATCACCATCAGCCTCCTGGATTACCATAACTGTCTCCATGGACAGGCCCATGGAGGTGGTCTCTGCTGAAACCTTGCCTCTGTTGAAAAGCAGTGGATGCATGGTCATTGATCTGTCACCAAACTCAGTCGACATGCACCACTGAGGTCAGCTGGGCAATGCCACTGAGTTCAACGGGAGCAGAAGGGGGTCAGATGAGGTCAGAAGAGCATGCTGTGTATCTCATGACAATACTCTAACTAATCTGGTCCTAAATTTTGTGTCTGTTATTTTCACAGATGGTGAAAAATTAAAATTTTAAAACTATTCAGCCATTCTGTGTACTCAATAACCATGATTTCTTGTTGAAAAAATGTAATCAGAGCCGTTGAGAAATTGAAATTACAACTGCACATGCCAATGGCCTATGGTCCTTCCAAAAAAGTAATGGAAGAATTACGGCATTATTAAAAATCCAGTGCGTCACCACCAGCTTGCAGTCAAGTTGTCCTCAGACAAGGAACCAGATGGTTATTCAGTTTCTTGATTCCCGCTTTGCTCTTGGAAAGAAAGAAGTGGTGACAGGCTTTCACTGCACTTTTATTTATTCCCTCTTTCTTCACTGCTTGCTACCCAGATGCTTGGCCATCCCTACTAAATGGCAGAAGTCTCATTGTCACTCCAACTCTGAATGCAAAGAGCAATGGTAGCACTTAAATAAGTAAGCACTTATTTAAGTAAGGTCCTTTACAACTCCAATAACCTTAAAAATCTTCATTCCATTGTGAAGTTACTATTGGAATTTTTTAATTTAAAAAGATAAGGAAAGTTTTCAAGTGATTTTCACAGTGTATGAATTGCTCATTTGCCAAAAATTAGCATATTGTTAAAAAACTCATATTCATATATGATTTGCATGAATAATTACTTAATTGAGCAGTGACCCCAAGGTGCTGGCATCGTACATTCACAGCTATTCTTCAAGGATAGTGTAGGGTGTCAGCGAGGATCAGGAGGAAGCAGTAATTAAGAGGAATAAACTTGTAAGAAAACAGGATGCAAGCACTAGTACCAGGGGACAGCAGATCCATGAAATGCTTGATGCAAGGATCACCTGGGTGGAGCATTCTGCAAAGCCATCACATCTAACTTGCTCAAAAGGGAAGAATTAAGGATGAAATGAGGGAAAAGTTTCTTGAAACCCATTCTTACAAGCTGATCCACATTTAAATCACAACTATGCCACCAATTTGGACTAACACAAAAGAGCAGTTTACTTCCCATTTTGCTTACAAAAATAAGTATTTTAATAATAAAGCAAACTGAAGACCTGTGTAGAAAGTTCATGCATAGGAACTCCAGACAGTCATTTTATCTACCCTATAATAAAAGTTTCTAAAATGAGACTTTGCCAAGAATTTGGCTCTTTCAGGGTTTGCTTGGTATACACTGAAGAAGAACTTCAAATAAGGTCTCAGGGAAAATAAAACTACCAGAGAGAGCGAACTTTGAAACTTTTGGGTTTGTCTTCTGCCACAAACAGCTGCAGGCTGTGATCTGCTCTACTGGTCAGTGCAAAGTAAAAACCCAGAATCCTGAACTCTTCCCTGGATACTGTTTAACTTGGAAAGAATCTGGAAAGGTTTACTTTGAACTTGTGTGTCAACCACAAAAAACTTCCTTGTGTCTTTTGGCTGCTGACAGGGTAGGCTGCTCTTTTAACCTTGTGTGTGTGGAGCCAACTGACCAGAGCTCAGACCATGCTCCCTCTTTAAGAGATTGTCAGAACAAATATCATATTGTTTATACCTCCTTCCTAGTCAGCTTTTATCTTATCTGGGAGTATGGGAAATTTGATAACAAGTTACAGTAAGAGCTGTCTAAGTTTGGGATTGAACAAAGAACAGATACCACTGCCCTAATGAGGGAGATGTCAGAGCCTACTCCCGAAACTGGATCCTTTATTTCTGCACACGGTGCTTTAAGCCAAAGTTTTTTGAAGTTTGATGACTAACCCTTTTCAAGCTTTCAAAGGCAAATAAATGGGTTTTGGAAGCTGTGCTCTTGCACTAGATAGGCAAGATGCTTTCCACCACATTTTAAGTAAGCATTTTTTCAGTATGGCTTGGCACATCCTGTACGCTCACTGACTCCATCACCTCAAGAGGAAGAGTTACACCAAGCGTAGGTACTTGGAATATCACACCCTATGATTCACAAGGGCATGAACTGTGAAGCTTTCTTGAAGCTGTCACAGGATTTATTTTGAAGACCTTTTGAAGTCAAAAATCCTTAAAAGAGCAGAACCAAATCACTTGTCTGCATGATAAAGTAAAGCTCATCCTATCAAGCTTCATGGGAGCTACAGCATAATGAAGAAAGAACAGGAACTCAGTAATCATATTTTTTGCTGGAAAAATTATGAACCATGCACTTCTCAGGGTGAATATGATGCAACCTCAGTGAACTCAAAAGGAAGATTTTTTTTTTTAATTTCCATAGGGTAGGAACATTTCTTTCTCCTGGAAGCTTAAAGAAATATTTTTAATGACAACTGTGGAGTGCTGGTTTTACAAAGATTACTTCTAGTATTATTAACCAGTGTATTATTTTTGGATTTAATGCAAAGTTCTTAAATGAGTGTGATTTCACTTTTTTAAAACTGAAGTGACAACATTAACCTTGGTCAGGATACAAAGAAACTATTTCTACAATCCTACTCTTCCCACACTAACCACTTAGAAGAGAAAAAAATAGCACATCAACGCCCTCAAAAGGCTTCTCAAGATAAAAAAATACAGTCTACACTCAGAAAAAAGAAATCAGAGAACTTGAAGAGGATGGGGGCAAATCTAGCGATTCCTTTCAGCCCGAGATGTTAACTTAGTATAAACCAGTAGATAATCTATGCAACCTCTGCAGGACTCAGGATTACCTAGATAGAAAAATTATAACCAGGCTCAGCTGCCTCACCAGAGCACTGTGAATAAGGCACTGTGGGGTACTGCTTGCAAAATATTTTAGCTCCTTGATAAGAAGTGCTGCAGAACTGCAAAATATCATAATTTTGATCACACTACTGATAATTGTTTGGGCACAAGGAGCTTCCACTTGAGGATCTCTTCCTCCAAACAGCAGCACTAATTGCTACTGCTCTGAGCAACAGCAGGCAGCACTGAACAGAAACTCATTTTAACAAGAGTGCTGCTAAGCAACTGCAGGCGGGATTTCGAATAAGAGCTTGCCATCCAGTGAAACAGTGCACTGCAGCACACCAAAGTGGTTTTTCTTACTCAGTACATCAGGTTGGATGGTATCATCCACATTTAGAGAACAGATCAAAAAACTGTTCAAGCAGTGCCTCAGGGAATACTAGGGTGTGCCCTAGCCTCCCAAGAAATGTCTGTCCTCCAAAATTTTCTCTGGGATTAGATTTGGGAGACTTGGGCCTGATTCTGTTCCTGTTTATACCAGTGAAATTCAGCTGACTTTGGGCAGAGCTGTTTCTGCACACCTTAGGGCCCAGTGAAGATGCATTAGTTATTTTCCCAAAGGCAATGAGCACCTGCTATTCATTTCAGTTTGCATGTCAGACCTGTTTGTAAGTCTGGTTCCTGCAGAGGGTCACTTCTGTAGTGGTTATGACAGCTAGAAGAATAGTTTTGCTTCATTAAATCAAACAGTACCTAAGAGTCAAGAAACAGGCATTGAAAATGTTTCCCATTCGTGTCTCCTCCCTGCTCATATCGTTACTAGAGAGAACAGACTCAGGGGAAGACATGTGGTAGCTGAACGACCTCTTTTTCTAACATTTAACTAACAAGCTAAAACAGCCTTTTCCTCAAATATTCTTGGTGACCTCTTTTTCTAACATTTAAATAACAAGCTAAAAAACACAGCCTTTTCCTCAAATATTCTTGGTATTCCTTGTTTTTGTCTCACATCCACAACAGGGAGGTCATTAAAAGTTAATATCCACTGAAAAAAACCCCAGCGTCAAGGAGAATAGATTCAGTTACTGGCTTATAATATATGGCACACATTATTTGCTAATCGGTGTATCTATATTAACTTAGCCAGCTTATTAGGCATAATATTTGGTAAAGCTAAAAATCATATGAATAAACTCTAAATGTAGGTTAGAAGGTTAGATAACTGATCATCCAGTGTTGTGTCCAATGTATAAGATTGTTATGAAATTTCTTCAGCATCACCAAAATAGAATGAATGTTGTATTTTAGAACAGACTTTTAAATTATTTCCTGCCCCTGTTTTCATTATAAAAGATAATTCCTTCCCTCCACCCATTTGAAAGACATTTAACGGTCACTGAAAGAAAGCGAAAATAAAACAACCCAACCCATACCCACCCAGTTCTTAGAACTTACACAGTACATCAAGAAAGCACTTGCAAAAAATTAAGACAAATTTTATCCAAGTGGAAGCCATGCTTGCACAGACATAGAAGTGAAACACATCTGAAGTCTACAGTATCACAGCACAGTTTTGCATTCCTGGACCTTACCTTTGAAGAAAGGGATGTAATGATGTCTGAATGTAGATGTAGGGCTTGGGTGTTGGGGCAGGGAGATGCAGCTACTGGTACCAAGACTCTGAGTACCAGCTGGGGGCAACAGAGAGTAAGTGAAAATAAACTATTTAGTTCACTTACTGAAAGCCACAAATTACAATGCCATCCTTTTCTTCAGGAACATTTTCCTTCTGATGCTTAGAGAACATATAGTTTATATTAAAGACTTCATCTTTCTCTGGGTATTGCTAAAAACATCATGATGGCCATACTATGCAGTTGACCAAGGGACACGGGCTTTCCGCAGAGTATCATATAAAAAGCTGATATTGTAACGCATCAGAAAATATTCCAGAAAAGGCACCACCAAAAGCATAGCTGCACTCAGGGGAAAATCTGCATATTCAAAAGCTGCAAGACGGAATGATGTATGCTCATAATGGATCTAATGAAGTGAAATGGGGAGAGCCTTGTCTCTGCTGAGAACTGTGCTATGAGTGGGTCCAGTTCTCACAGACAGTGGTGCACACAGGTAGGATTTAGTTCACAATGCACCAGGGAACTCAAGTGCATGGCTAATTTAAGATTTGAAGAAACATCCTGAAGTTATCGAGCTCTGAAAGTAAGTCCTTTGAAAAACATTCTCAACTCATCTTCATTTGCCTTGTTGTAATAATGTCCTGATAACATATTTCTGAGGACCAATGGCAATTATTAAATTGGCAAATAGATTACTATCTTCTAAATTTCCAACGAAGCTGTACAACATTAGAATTAATTTGGAATTTCTTTTCTTTCCTCCTTTAACAGTGTGCAGCTAAGCTTAAGCATGACACAGCTGCCAGACCTTCAGCAGAGGCTAATCTTTCCTCTCTTTAATAGATCTTTGATACTCAATCTCACTTCCACTTTGTCAAAAACTTTATGTAGTACACATATTCAATTCCTGTAAAAACTGTTTCTGTTAACCACAAAATTTTCATTTTCACTGGAAAGATTAAGAACTTCCAATTTCCCAACTAGTTTATAATTATAATATATCCCCAATGAAATTAAAAGACACCAAGAACACAATATAAATGCTCTGTTTTTCCACCCAAATGATGTAACGGTGAAAAATCAGAATGAATTTTGAGCAATTTAGTTGATTATTTAAGGATAAAACTCTATATGGTACCCATATATGAACGGGCTTTTGTAAGGGACCCTCATGCGACAAGGGCACCAACACAGATGCTACTACAGCCCAAAGCTGCAATAAACATCACTGTAAGCTTCTCAACTAAAGCAACTTGGCCTGCAAAATCCAGTCATCAGGACCACTCTTCACTCCTCCAGCTCTTGCACTGTGGAGCGGACACACAGACCTTGCGGTACAAGAAGGGATACCAAATCACTCGATCACCTTCTTGGTTTTGTGTGCATTCACTACTACTATGCTGCACCATGAAAGAGCTGTGGATTGAATGTGTAGCTTCAGGCAGGATGGGACCAGGATTATGTAATTTAAACTGTTCTATCTTCTGTTTACACATACATAAAATCAATCTTTCTAGATGCCTGTTTTCATTTTCTTAGATTCTTGTTCCTGAAGTACTTGTTTCCTTGCTCCCCATGAAGGACTCTGTTCACAGTAAATAAAACACAGCAGAGAACTGCTACTCCACCTAAACCCCCTGTCTACCAGAGGATACCCTATCTACGACATAAGACAAAGTAGTGGAAAAACCCAGAGAATAAATGAGGCTGCTTTTCAATTACCTGGTCTGCTGTAATGCTGAGGAGAATGGGAGGTTGGAGTGTAGCGACCATAGCCCAGTGAGCCAGCAGAGCTAGGACTTGATGTCCTGTACTGTTTGGAAGATCTGTCATCTTGATCACCCTGAGAGGAAGAGAGGAAACATATGTCATCAGGGAAGAGAAATAACTCCTGAAATAGGCAGAATATGCCATTTTGCATGTTTCTGTGCCATGTAGGTGGAAGGCGATGCTGTCGTAACGCTCCATGCAGTCCCAGTGAAATGAGGTGGCTTTCAACCGTAAGCACCTCCACTGCAGTGTGACCAAAAGAGCTCTGCCAAGTATCAGTGAACAGTCATCCCAGAAAAATCAATACATACATGAATTTAAAATGACAATATCATTTGAAAAGAAGATAACACTGTAGAAGCTTTTTTTCATGACAGTGTAGCTCCCTGAACATACACAGATGGGTGGAAGATGAGATCAGGTTAGTGTAATAGTATTATGGACACTTTGTGTCCACATGAATGGATGCATAACAGTTACAGACAACACAAAAATCGGCATTTGTTGGCTTCGTTATATCACAGAAATGACTGTGTCTGCTGTATAAATTGCCCAGTGTACCGCATTACAACATGGTCATTACTAGCTAGGTAGCTGATATAATCACTCATGTATAGCATTAGCGTGACCACTGCAGCAGTGTGCAAAGCAAGTCACACAACTCATTTCCCACCAAACCCTTCCCTTCAAGCACTTAAATCCACGTACACCCATACCAAGCTGCTCACTCTCTATAGCTAGTGAAATTACGATTGCAATTTGTATGTAGCCTCTCCTTAACAGTAAAAGCATTACTGAGTGAATTAGATGTGCAAATGTCTTTCTGTAAACTAGATATAAAAGCAATGTCAAATTTCTTGCTTCTTGCAGACCAAGTGAGAATTGGCTTGTTACCTTCAAGTTAGATCTAATCAATGTAGCCTGTAGATGCTGCCTTATGGAAAGTCATACTCCAAAACATGCTTCCCCTCTCCTATTCCAGTAGGGGTGAGTTAAGATACGCTATACCACAGCAGGTGTTAGTCACTTGTCATGAATCCTGGGACATCTTTAGGGACCTGTGTGACTCCCACTGGATCACTCATCATTTAAACACAGAAGAGATCTTACTTAGCCCCATCATCACCTCCCAGATGCCTGTCAGGGCAACTTAATTATATCCATCCATTTATCTTTAGATGAGTGCAGTTTCCCATTTGGTGTCTCTAGGGTTGTCCTTGGCTCCATAGAGATGTACAGTGTTCTCCCATTGTCAGTTTTTCTGCTTTGCCTCAGGCTTGCTCCATCACTTCCACCTTGACCCAGACTCACTGACTGCATTTTCAAAAAGGAAAACGAGTTATGTATAGTGCTAAGTAGCATTATTGCTTTAATATCCATTTCAGGAGAAATTATACCAAAAAAAAAAAAAAAAAAGGGAGAACAACTGATGCCTTCTGCATGCAGCGCCCTGTAGGCATTCTGCCACCAACTCATCTATGGTCAGTTTGAGATGTTTTCCCCCCAGCGTAGCTATATTATTTAATACCCACTCTAACCCCTGCAAAGACAGTTACAAGCAGTATAGCAGTGTCTCTGGAAAGTCTTGGGATGGTATTTAAATACCATACGAGCGTTAGCTAATGGGCTATAGCGTGTCCAAATGTATGATACCAGTGGAATTTTCCTTTAATAATATCCCTGCAACAAAACTGGTGACAAGTTTGCAGATGACAATGCCTGAGCACCTCATCACAGACTCTTCAGAGAAAGACAGCAACCATGGAAAACTTGGATAACCTGGAGAATTCACATAACATGAATCATGGCAGCACCAACCTCCATACCAGTGTCACTTCTGGAATTTGATAGCATGACTGTTTGCTGATAGCTAAGTTAAAGGAAATTAGTATAATCCTCCAAATCACCAAGATTTCATATTGATAAGTTCAGACCTTACCTTTTGTGTATTTTGTGTCTCTGCAAGGAACAGGCAATCAGGTTCATGAAATCCAATATTAAATAAAGCACATTTTTATTTTTAAACTGTTAATTAAATTATATTTCCATTGGTTAACATATCTATTTAATCAATGCTCATAGTGACAGTCAGTCATTTATAAGTCTTAATGGAAATTTGCAATTCTCCACTATTACCAAAATTTTGCAATACTGTTCTTTTAATATAAAATTGGGTAAGCGGAGAAATTAGCCAGGCCTGTGATATGCAACTGAGTTACTGTCTGGGAAGCTATATTAAATGCTTTCACTGCTTCCAAGGTGATGTTTCTTGAAACAATGATTGGCTTTGATCATTAACGCACATGAGAATACAGAGACCTAGAAGTTCAGGTATGTGCAAATGATTTAACAGTATTTGTGCACAAATTGTTTAACTATTTGTGGAATAAGATATATAGGAAAAAAAAAAAGGACAGAGAAAGCTATGCCAAGCATTAATTCAAGTCAACTCACACTAGCAGTTTTAAATGTAAATATAAATCATGTTTCCCAATGTAATTTATTTAGAAGAGCTTGAAGAAGTGACCACAACACAACCTTTATTTTGGAAAGTGGAAACATGGATGACAGTGGAGACAGATGCATACAGATGACAATCTAGAAGCAGAGCACGTATTCAACACAAATAACACTGTGAAAAACAAATTATAAAACCCCATGCACTGTAGAGGCAGGAGGCAACCCCCACATTTCAGACGCTGCTGGTTATCAATATGACCAGGTTTATGCATCACAAAATGGGTCAGAACGGGAGAAAAAAGGCATTGGGGATTACCTCAGTAGGTGTTGGAGAGAGCAACTGAGGTGACTGCAAACAGCAACACACAACAAATTAGTGATACAAATTCATGCACGATGTTATTTGTGAGAACTACCCTTAAAATATCAATATCCATGCATAATACGTGATACAGTTATGAAAAACACCTGTAAATTCAGTTAGGGCAATTCTTCTTTTTACTTCTTTTTAAAGAAGTAAATTAGGAGTAAGATTTGAATGAAACAATTTCATAAAAAGCTTTTGCTGATTTCTTTACTACAAACTCCTGGAGTCTAGTGAGGAAAGTATTGTACCACAGAGAGTTCTGCTAGTAGGAAAAGTCACATTTGCAGCAACTGTCTGAGACTAGACAAAAGCCTTAGTTAAATCTGCATTGAAGCAGGTCCAAAATCTGGACTAGAGCTTTGTTGCTCAGAGCTGTCTATTTTAGTGGGAAGAAACCTATCTGTACTATTTAATATTTAATTAAATATAATGTAACTTTAAATTCACTGTTTGTTCATTTTCCTTTCAAATCTAAAGGCCAAACTCAGGTAGCTGAGCAGAAATCTACTGAAACTATTGCAGCTGCAGCTAGGATGCTGAAATTTGGTCGACAGGATATACCTACATACAAACTGGGGAACAAGACCTGCAGAACAGCCCCGCAGAAAGAGATCTGGGGGTTTGGGTTGATGGCAAGTTGAATATGAGTCAACAGCGTGCCCTGTCAGCCAAAAGGGCCAACCGTGTCCTGCGGTGGGTCAAGCACATCAGAGCTAGCCAGCCAAAGGAGGTGATTGTCCCACTCTACACTGGTGTGGTCCCACCTTGAGTATTCTGTGCAGTTTTGGGAGCCTCAATTTAGGAAGGACATTTAACTTCTGGTGTGTGTGCAGAGGAGGGCAACCAAGACAGTGAAAGGCCTCGAGTGCAAGGCTTAGGAGGAGTGTCTGAGGTTGCTTGATTTGTTTAGCTTGGAGAAGAGGCTGAGGGGAGACCTCATCACAGCCTACAACTTCCTCAAGGTGGGCAGCAGAGGGGGAGCTGCTGATTCCCTCTCTCTGGTGACCAGCCACAGGACATGAGGAAATGGAATGAAGCTGTGTCAGGGGAAGTTCACACTGGACATCAGGAAAAGGTTCTTCACTGAGGAGTCATTGGTCACTGGAACAGGCTTCCCAGGGAAGTGTTCACGGCACCAAGCCTGTCAGAGTTCAAGGATCGTCTTAGTTCTATGGTTCAGTTTTAGGTAGTCCTGTGAGGAGCAGGGACTTGATGACCCTTATGGGTCCCTTTCCTTCTGGCAAAGGAAAAGAGCAGAAGCCAGTGGCTAAAGCAGATGCTGAGGGCAGGTACAGGGAAACTCTCTCCTGCAGCATCCCAGGTTTATGATGGGTGTGATGGTTTTATAACCATCACCTTGGAGACGGTGCAATAAGTGAGACTTCCCAGGAGCTGAGGGGAAGGTTGTTTACTCTGTGTACCACTGCAAAGTCTAGATGTAAATGGGCAGTTGCAGTGGGCCACAAACATTATCAGCACCCACAAATTTTGATGTAGAAAGGATATATTTATACTCTGTAAGTTCAGGGCTAGCAAGCAGCTTTCAGTTTTGTAAATTCAGAAGCCTTAATACCATTTAAACCCTCCACCAGATACAATTTTAATTCTTCTAGCATGCATTTGAAAAAAGAGCTACTGTGGTTCAGCATTGTACAGAGTGGGTTTGGAAGAGGGTCTGCAAGATCTAATGTATGTGCTGTACTTTACTGAGAATTGTACTGAGACTTCAGTAGTAGATTAAGTGTAAAAGGCGTAAGTGATAGCAGGACTGCAGCTATTATTCATAGTGTTAGTTCTGCCCATTCACTTACATCTACAGAGAACAATGCAGACTTCCCTTCTGGACCATATATATCATGATAACATACCTTGTATATATAAGAGGTTTGATTTGTAAAAAAGTATCTAAAATTATAAAAGAAATCAGAAATGCAAACAAAGGTAGATATGGTTAGGGAAGAAAAGCTAACTCACATGACAGGAGTTATATATAAATATGCTTCACAGAAAACACAATTAGTAAGAATATGTTAAATTAGATCATTAGTACAAACTGAGTAATACTAACTCTGCATAGGAATCGGTTGACATGCATGCATGACATGAGGATGAACTTTAGTAAGGGACAGTTGAAAGAAATTTGTACATAGGGAAGTGAAACCATTGTTGTGTTAGCAAAATAACACGGTATGTTTCAAAAAAAAAATCATGAAAGACATTTGGCTTTGCTTCTGATTTTTGCATTATAATTAGCAATAGCTCCTGTTTCCTACCACATGCATGTAGAACTCCTCACATGGAAAAAGATATTCTAAATACATGTCATCTGTTAAAAAAACAATCATAGAAAACAATTCTTTAATTTCCACAAACTAAAAAGTGAAATGAACGTCTTGCTTGGTTTTGAAGGCTAAAATGCCTTGTGAATGAATGGATGACATGACTCAACTGAAATTATAATTTTTTTTTAATTATGCACATGTTTAAGTGTGTTTAATGATGCACATAAAATCTCAAATTTGTAGTAAAAAAAAATACCCATGTTTCAGTACCTCCCCATAACTATGCCTGTCATCTGATGAGTAACTGATATATGGAGAATAGGAGATCATATCTGGGCGGTCAATGTTATAGATGGCTTTATTTTTAGGAAGAGCAGCCAAATCCCTGTAGTCAAGAATTTCATCTCCAAGCTTTGCCTACGAAAAGGAGGAAAGAAAGTGGTGAGAATAAGAAAGAATATGATCAGGATGCAATCAGAAAAGGACAGATTCATGTAAGTAGAAATGTCATCATCACAGTAATATACCACTTATTCTGTTTGTGTGCATTTAAATATCTTCTATTTACTACACAATGTTAAATTATGCCACCCTTTTCGGTTTATATACTGGTGCTTTCTGTTTTTCTTTGTTACTTTGTCTGCTAGCTGCGGAGCACGCAGGAGAGACACTGCAGTCTTTTTCAGTCAAAAGGCCATTTTAAAGTGGTTTCGGTGTGCAGGGTTCCCCTACCATAAGCAGTAGTGAATAATCAGATACGTATTTCCAACATATACTCTCCAGATGCTGAAAAACATTAGTCAGGTCTTTAATTTTTTTCCATTCATCTGTGTCCCACAGATTCACCTCCTTTCCTGACTATGACTTAGTACCCCTTAATTATGGGTCAAAAACCAGCAGATGATGGATTTGCACCATGGTGGATTAGCTGGAAGATCACAGATGCCACTTAAATAAAGTTCAAATCCTTTCATGAGACTCACACAGCCAACAGATGGAAAAGGCTGTGTCACTCCTCATTCTCTTCTTACTACACTTACCCCAAAAGTGTAATTATCCAAATGCCACATTTGCACAGATTATCCTTAGGATAATGGTAACTTGCACCAAAATTGTAGCCAGCACACACTGTCTTGAAAATACAACAAGTTGGCCTCATTAAGAGTGGAGACATAGGCAGCATAATCCTCTCATTCCCAGTTGAGGCTTTGCAGAATGATAAGCATTTTGTTGACAACAAAATGATGAGTGAATCTCACTATTCTTGAAAATCTCTGAAAGTATGAACAGCTGTAAAACTGTAATAATGTTTTCCACATGCAAAAATATTGAAGTATCCAGGATTTATGTGTGCAGTGATTATATTTTTTTCTTAGTAGAAGCTAAGAAAAGTTCAGTAGATTATCCAGGGAAGTTTTCTATTAGATTATACAGCAAAAATGTAATGTGACAACTTTCATTTATCCCTTTTTCTAAAACAACGTATGAATTTGTGCAAATGTAAGCAACACAGAAAGGAGAAAAATTCCTCTTAACTAAGGAAGTGGAACAAAGCTGCCATAACCATCACATATTCTAACCCTCAACACTAATGAAAAAATGTGCTTTAATCAAGTATGTGGTTCTTTAGTGATCTACAATCTCACCTTTCTTGCAGCTACTTTAAGAAGCTAAGGACCAATGAAATAGCCTCTTAATGAAAATAAATCTCTCCCTACAGAGAAGCCAGTGGCAAGCTCTGGTGGACATGCAAAGGACATGCAAAGATAAGGAGGAGTCTATCCATCAGGTCTGTTCCAGGAAGATTTTGGGCAGCACTGTACCTACACGGAAGGCCAGGAAGGCTGTGCTAATTTCTTTTTTGACGGTATCCAGGCTTGTGGAGATCCTTCTAGTGAACCCAAAGAAGTTGAGAATTGCAAATATTTAAATGGGAATTACAGTAATTTTGGCCCCATCTCTCTTCATAGAAGTGCAACTTGAGATCCTCCCACCAGACTTCAGAACTGTCAGGAGTAAAATTTATCTAGTTACATAATTCCTTACAGTTTAAATATCAAAATGTAGGCATATCTGGATAAAAAAACCCTGAGAGATACAGCTTTTTTCTAAACACTTAACTCCACAAACATTAAGCCTTTATTGATTTTTATTTTATTTGTTTCACCTACTTTCATATATGTGAGTGGAATTCAAATATGCTAGAAAAGGCTGAAATTACAGCTAAGAGGCTTTAAGCCATTTCTTCAATAATCTGGTATTTTGGATGCTGTTAAAACCATGTTCTAAGTTTAGAGTATCTATTTCATTTGGAACATGTAATTTTAGAATTGTACAATTGCAAATATGATCTGTATAAAAATACAATGTGATTTCCATTCCTAGTATGAGAACATGCAACACAGCTGTGTAACCTAAACTAAACCTTCCACTTGGATTTATCTTTGCAGGGAGTGCCTAATTCTCTCTTCACAAAATTTAGCTAGTTATAAGGAAGGACTTTTATTTAGGCCTTATTTAATGGAATAATTTAGAAATTATTTGATTTTTAAGTGGTATTTAGGAACTCTAAGGGGCTGTCAGCACTGGGGTAAAGTTCAATTTCGATATAATGAAGCTATCACTAAAGATATGAAAAGATGCTCGTTAACTTAAAAGGGCATTGGTCTATGCCCTCTCTCAGTGCAGGAAGACACCAAAGTCTGAAATCAGAAGATGAATAATAAGTGGTATGGCTTTAAAAAACCATCTGTATGAACCACATTCAGGTTTAGACCAAAGATGCTTTCTTCTTTACCTAGCTGACCACTCAGCCATGACCCAGGAACACGTCTCCCACGAGATGGCACATTGTTCAGAATGACTCTGTTGCTCTGAGTTGATGCCTTTGAAAGTATGAGCACCATGAATTCACAGTTTCTAAGCTTTAACTGTTTTCTCTAAATTCTCTGTTGTCCAACATACTTCACAGAGCTCACCAGCTGTTAAGGTAGAGTTTCATTATTGGTTTTAGTGATACAAACCAATGCTACTGCTGAAAGTGGCTGTCCTGCGTGCACCTTCCCACTCTGCTCTGCCTTCTACATTAGACACATGTAGATGGCTGGGTCTTTGCTTGCCTCTTTGGTTGGCTGGAGTTTTTTTCATGCGTTATTTTTTAGCTGAATCTGGTCTCAAATCTGACTGATCATATGTCTGTGTACCTACTAGTACTAGCACTAAAGAGGAGACTGGAAGACATGGCTGGAGAGGGACAGGGCCACAGGTGAACGGGACCTTCCTTTCAGTGGCAGCATGAATTTCGGTTTGATAACACCATCACAAAAACACCCAAGAAAAATCTTGAGCACCTCTGTATATCATAACACTCTTGTAATAGAAAAAAGATTCAAAAGTTAGCCAAAGAATCATTTTGATAACATAGAAGTCCAATAATATGTTTTTAATTATTTTTATTTTCCTGTTTGCAAAAGCCAAAATAGGATTTAATCAATCTCACCGCTTAGACAATTAAGCAGTGAAGAGATGAGACAGATAGATCAAGAACTTGCATGCCTCTGGGTAATCTTTTTTCCTAGCAGACTCCTATTTGCTAGAGAACTTTATCCTTTCACAGTCCCAGCTGCCTCTAAAGTATATTACAGTAACAAACATTAGAGTTGTGTGCTGATTTAATGATATTCTTAAAAAAAAAAAAAAGAAAGAAAAAGAGAGTGGAGGTTTGTCCTTGACTTTTAACAACCTGTGAAGCATAATCTAAAGCTGTAATCACCAACATCAAGAAAAACAGTATTACCCAACACTTAGATAAATGTCACTAAAAACATATAAATCTTAGAAGAATGCTCATGCTTATAAAAACAATGAAGTAGTGCATAGCTGGAAAGATAGAGACCATCTGGCCAAAGAAAGTGCTTACATGATAAGAGGTTCCTAGCACAATGAATTGTCTTCATAGCAGTTGAGGCAACGACATTTTTTTACTAGGAATATATCACTGGTATCCACCAGCATGGAGCTTTACTGGAAGGAGAACTCAGAGACACTGGTGAGCATTTACATAAAGGGCAGTTCCTCCACTTCTTGTTCAGCCTTACTCAGATGAAGGGTATACTGTGTTCAAAATAATTTTTACTTGAAGAAAAAAGAGCAATTTGGCTCCAAGATACCCTTGCTCGTCTCAGTGTTGTAGATAAAAGCCCCTAATCTCTGTGTAACACAACAACTCTCTGGCAGTCAGTTGCATCTCCAATAATTTTCTCTGCATATGGTCCTGTCCGATGAGAATCACCTGCCTACCTGAGGGATACTTGGACAGGAGAAAGAAGAGCCGTGGGAATACTGAATCTCTCCAGGGATGTCTGTATGGAACATGCCACACTTGTGGATATTATTTACCTATTGGTGATAGCCTTGATAATTTGGCCATGAACATTAGCTACAGCAATTATGACGAGCAAGGTACACCTGGTATTGAAACAAAAATACTCAGCATAAGCTTTTATCATACTTGTTATTTAAAATTCTCTCTCTGAGCTTTCCAGAGCTAGCACTTCTTAGATCATAAACACATCAAAGGTCCTCTGAGGTTAGGACTGGCATTTGTCAAGGCCCAAGTCCTGCAATCACACGCACGAGTGTTTTCATAAGCAATCAGATGCAGGCTCAAGAGCTCGATTTAGACAAGCTGTGTTCGAATCTAGGCTTGTAATCTACCTGTGGGCTGTAGTGTTTACTTAAACTTTTCTTTTTAGAAAGCACTGTGGTATTTTGCATGCTTTGGTATAAGCCAGCTCTAGTGGTAATGCAAGTGCTATAAATACACCACAAAAAATAACAGGAAACTGCCCGAGTTCTGTTATGGTAAATGGAATACTCAAGCATTTTAAACGTGAGAAAGTACATTCTGTTTTAGAGAAATCACAGCCTACAGTGGTTTGGAGACACTGGCTTTCCACAAAATGTGCTAAACTCTATGAGGAAGCATGGGGTTTTCCCCAACCCCCAGCATGAATTTCACCATGAAACACTCACATAGATCACACGGCTTGGGGAACCTGATGTACTTGAAGCAGGTACAGAAATAATACTCTCAGATGAAGTCCTCGTTTCCTATGGCAGGAGAAGTGAAACAGATAAGAAATAGAAGATAAGGAGAGAAAATGTAGCTGTTACTTTAAAAAGAGCATGCAAGACATTTAATTCAATTTAACCCTTACTACTCAAAATTGGCATATTACAGCTAGCTCAAAACATACAGGCATACCAAAGAGTTAAAAATAACATAACACCTTTAGTCAATCAAATTGACCTTTGGAAATGCAAAAATTATTTTACATATGACTTTCGTGTTCCCTTCAGAATGAAACGTCCTGGAGCACTTCTGGGCTGCCAGGATAGCTGCTGGGCACTATCAGGCACAGGTCAAATTACAGCAGCTCTGAGTCTGGGGTCAGAAGATGATATGGTGGCAGCATTTTTACTCTGAGGTTATACCATCAAACCAATCTACATTGCTTCTGGAATGCGTCATGCTACCATGCCATCCACTCACAGCAAACAGCACGACATCCTGCAGAGCATCCTGAATCAGAACCCAAGAGGGTTAGCTTTCCCCTCTCTTGATTGTAACACTACCAGACTGATTTTAATACTCAACTGGTTTTGCTCTGTTTTCAATCATTCTGGCATTCAGACTGACAGACATTTATTGCTTTCTTTTTGGTAGATTCCTTTATGATGAAAAATATAATTACTTTTAAATAACAAAGGGTTGTGAGTCACAATGATACTAACCAGGAGTGAACAGACTTGACATTCGTAATCGAAGTTAAACAAAATTTACTCTGAAATCAATGGTTTTATAACCTCTTTTACCCAGATATGTTAATTTATCATAAAATATTCTTTCCCATCTATGGAAAAATCTGTCCCTGATTGCAAAAAATACATTTTCCCATGCACTCTGAATGACTGCCATTTACTGTCTCACAGAATGCTGTCATTTCTCAACTGGACATTACAAACGTTCAGACCCTCAAAGGGATTTTAGCATTATTAAGCTGTCAGGGGAAGGAAGCATCTTTCCTACTACTCTAGTCCTTGCTTGAAATATTTACTAGCTTTTAGAAGAAATATGTGAATATTTCTGTGCTGTAAGCAGAGAAAACAAACTCAATGATCACAACTATCCTTCCACTGACCCTCTATAACTCAAATACTCCTATGGCTTTTCTAACCCAGTGTGTGGAGATACCCATATAAAAGAGATTCAGTTTAATTGTTTTGGCATGTTTGACCAGGATTTTGGAATTTTCTCCCTCCCATTTTCAGTTGTCTCACACTGAGGCTCTGTACACACTCAGAAGGTCCAAGAGGACAAGCACTTAAATAATTATCTAAGGAATACTTGTGGCTGCCATTAAGATGATCATTTAACATGGACAGTATAATTGTATGGCTCTTCTGCATTATAGTTTTCTAGAACTTGTGTAAATCACATATAAGTGTCATCAATGTACTGATGTCATGTGCAAACCATACTTCTCTTTCATGATGTCCCTATAGGAGGCCCAATTCAGTACAGAAAAAAAAAAGAACTGAAGAAAGCTGAACCATTCTAGTGTTTTAAATCTTGTTAAAGTCAAACAACAGTTTTGGATTAACCTCAGGATTTCCTAGATCAAGCTTCAGAGCTTCTTTCTGTGTCACGTGCATCAGTGGAGTGTATTTTAAAATCACACACTGTAGCATGAATAACAATGTAGCATAAAATCGCACACATGTAACATACTTGCTTAGATATATTTAATAACTCTTAATAAATTCCTGGAGTTTTTTCATGGGCTTTCCTCAACTTAGAGGTGGATAGCTTGTTTTTAAGAAGAACTACAATTCATTAAAATTTCTAACTTTTGTAATCAAAATGTAGAGTCTCGTCATTCTATGGCATTTCTGCAGATTGCTTCTGTGTTTCGTCTGCTAATCAATTACTCCCACAAATTTTCCCATTTCTCCTCCTGGTGATTAAAACCTGCTCATTCCACATTTCAAACATGTTCTTTATTGTCTGCCTGATCCACTACCCCTGTTGGCAACCCCAGCCCATGCCTGTTGCACATAATCTTCTCACTTCTGCAATAAAGACTTCCATCTCGGTTGATTCCCCTACTTGTGTTTAGTTCTTACTCTGTACTATGTATTTTTATTCCCTCGCCACCTACCTCTTTTTCCTTTATGCCTACTGATAATTGTTGTTCTTTATCTTGCTACTTTGATGGAAGAATCTCATGACTGGAGTGCAGCTATTGATGGCTACAGGCTATTCAGAAGGGACAGCAAGGAAGGAAGGGGTGCCCTCTACATCAAGAAATGGATAGAATTGTCAAGAGCTGTCTCTGAAGAATAGCCATGAGCAAGTTGAAAGCTTATGGGAAAGAATTAGAGACTGAGGCAACAAAGGGAACCTCGTGCTTGCATCTACTACAGGCCCCTTGATCAAGGGGAAGCCTACTGATGACACCTTCTTACTCCAGCTACGGGAGGGATCGCACTCGCAGGCTCTCATCCTGCTGGAGGACTTAAGCCACCCCAACATCTACTGGAAAAGTAGCAGGGTGACCAGTGAGCAATCCAGGAGACTCCTAGAATGCACTGAGGATAACTTCTTAAGCCAGGTAACAATCAGCCCTACCAGAGGGGATTGTGATACTGAGCCTGATGGCCACCAACACAAGTGAGCTAATTGGTGAGGTGAAGACAGGAGGCAGCCTGGGCTGCAGAGATCCTGCACTGGTGGAGTTTGCAGTCCTGAGGAGTATGGGTCAGACAAAGAGTAAAGTCAGGACCTTGGATTTTAGGAAGGTAAACATCCAGCTGTTCAAGGAGTTAGTCAATAGGACCCTCTGGGAAACTGCCCTCAGGGACAAGGGAGCAGAACAGAGCTGGCAGATCTTTCAGGATGCCTTCCATAGAGAGACATTCAAGGTCAGACTGGATGGGGCTCTGATCTAGTTGAAGACCTCCCTGCTCATGGCAGGGGGCTTGGACTAGATGACCTTTAAAGGTCCCTTCCAACCCAAACTATTCCAGGATTTCTTCTGTCTTTTCCAGCTTCATCCCTCCTGCTAACAATCTCACTTTCACATCATTTTTCTTTTTGCTGTCACTCTCACAACTTCTTTTTCCCTTCCACTCTATCTCCAAAGTTTTGGAGTGTTCTGCCACTTAATCCTTCTGCCTTTGTCACCTACCTGAATTACGTGCAGTGCGTATATCTATATAAATATATAGAAAGATAACTATTAAAAACAACAAACTGCAAAGATATACCAGAAAATTTCTCAACTAGTATATCCCATTAACTTTTCAAGCTATGTTGAGAAGTCCATTACTACACTCTTTGAAATTACATCCTTTCTTCTTGGTTTATTTTTTCAATAATGAGTGTAAAAAAGAAAACCAGAGGAAAAACACAAAGAAAAGAAAAAACTACTGGACTTGGAAACGTTCCTTGAGCTCCATTCTGGGTTTTTCCCCTACTCAGGCAAAACTCCCACTGACTTTCAGATACAGATGTCTTCCTCTCTGCTGGGGAAGGGGCAGTCTCCCAGCTCTCGGAAGATGTGTTATAAATGAGTCAGCCTTTACACAGTATCTTACAGGTTCATTTTCTTGGCCTTTGTGTGGAAAAGGCAGGCAGCAGGAACCCAGTACAACCTCATTCGCTGTCTGTCTTTGAAGGAAGGGAAAAAAAACCCCAAACCCTACTACTCTGGAGCGAGTCCAGAGGAGGGCCACGAAGATGCTCAGAGGGCTGGAGCGCCTCTCCTATGATGAAAGGCTGCAAGAATTGGGCTTGTTCAGCCTGGAGAAGAGGAGGCTCCGAGGAGACCTCATTACAGCATTCCAGTATCTGAAGGGGGCCTACAAGGGTGCTGGGAGAGGACTTTTTACAAGAGCCTGTAGTGACAGGACAAGGGGTAATGGGTACAAATTGAAAACAGGGAGGTTTAGCTTATATATCAGGAAGAAATTCTTCACAGAGAGGGGGGTGAGGCACTGGAACAGGTTGCCCAGAGAAGCTGTGGATGCCCCATCCCTGGAAGTGTTCAAGGCCAGGCTGGATGAGGCTTTGAGCAACCTGGTCTGGTGGAAGGTGTCCCTGCCCATGGCAGGGGGGTTGGAACTAGATGATCTTTAAGGTCCCTTCCAACCCTAACCATTCTATGATTCTACATTTTATATAAATCACAAGGGGTTTTAGCCTTGCAATTTCCATTACTCAGAATAAAATCTGTAGGAAGCCTGAAATACTGCTTCATAGTACTAGGCTGAATCAGCAGCACTTACTAAAGTAATGTATTTTGACAATTTTAAATACACATGTACTATACGATACATTTTATACTGAAACACTACTTATTTGATATTCAGAACTTGCCATGATGAATACCAGAGTAATTGCTTCCCAAACACATTGGTACAAAAAACACAGCCAAGATCCTTCAGGGTAAAGCCCAAACCAAATTGTTTTCAAAACTGTAATTCAGTCAAAGTTGCCCTTACTAACACACCAGATTTGTAAACACTATTTTTATAGCTGCTGCCTGCTATTCTGACTTGTCCCATGGGCCTTGCATCCAAAGCCTTGATGGATCAAAGCAGAGCTTTTATGAACAAGGATATGAGGGTACAAGGATACCACGTGGAGCATCAGAGAAGAGCAGAACTGAAAAACCCTGTACTTGGCCTCTGCATTAAATGATATAGTTGCATCTCAGCCCCACCATTTCAGAGAGATCATTTCCCCAGGTACAGATTAATTCTTCATTTCCTAGGGGCAGCTTATTCATCTGCTACCCTTGTAATTATTAAAGTTGCCAAAACTAACCCCCCTTTCCCCTTGCACGGAGACAGATGCACAAATCATCCAACTTAAGGAGGTATTTAAAGCCAGAGATTAAATTCAGTTCGGGCTGGCTTGCCAACATTTTACAAACAAATAATAAAGAAATTCCAAGGAGATATTTTTCTGCAAAAACAAATAAAGTGAAAGTCCTCTGATCTTTTAATTGCAGAGCCACATAAAAAGAGAAGAGGTCATGCACTGATCACATCATTATCAGACAGAAGTTTAAAATTAACGTTTTTTTCTTACTCATATTTTCACATTTTTCCTTATTCAGCTTATACATATAACTCCTAGGTCAGCATTCTCCTGAAGTTGTAGCTTTAATCACTAAGTAAAAGCAGAATATATATAGTAGATATTACATTACATTAACCTACTAGAATTCTGTTATTTAAAATTGAAAACTACAGTAGTGAAAAAAATCCAAATCCTTCCCTCCATGCCCACTGCAAAAAAGGGGATAGAGAACAATACGACAATGGAACAATACTGGGTAAAAATAAGGTATTTTTACCTTGTTTTTTTCTTCAGCCTTTGCAGCCTGTCTACAAACTGGATGCCAAATGGATGTACCTGGAAAGCAAATTTAAAGTTCTGCTTAATTCATTTCCCCAGTAAGAACCTTAAAAGGTTTAAAATGAGAACCTTATTAAACCTTCCTGTAAAGGTTTATAAGACACAGCACACTCACTGATTCCACTGCAGTCACTATTTCATGAATACTTTCAAAGCTAAAACTGACATCATCTCAGTATCAGTGAGCCTGATCACACACGTGTTAAAGACTAGGCACACTTCAGAAAGCTATATGGACTTCAACGTGTGAGATCAGCATCACAACCAGAGTACTAAGAAAGATGACAGGGGATCTCTGGGGCTCCTCCGCTCAACAACCCACGCAGAGCAGGTCCCATTACAGCAGGCAGCTCAGTGCTGTGCCCCGTTGGGTTCTGCGTATCTCTAAGGATGAAGATCCCATGGCATCTCTGGGCAACCTGTTCCACTCTCATTGTAATATTTTTTTTCATATATGTAGTCAGAATTTCCTGTACAGTTATTATACATATGCTTGTAATAGGCTGGCCCAGTTCATCCTAAGCAGCACGCTGAGATGGGATGGAATAGCATTGTGGCATTTAACACTAACTGAAAATCCAGTCTTTCTTTCTGAATTATTCTATAATGATCTTGCACTTCCTATATGTTTGTCTCTCATAGGTCAAATACTAAAAGAACTGCATAAATTCAGGGGAATATCCATCCTAGAAGAAGCAGGAAGTACAGAATGAGCTAACTTACTGCATGTAAGCACCTAAGAGAGGATTATGAAGTTCAGAGATTCAAGTAACCATGAGAGTGAGCAAGAAACTTAATAGTTTTGCATCAGTCACAAAGAAAAATAAAAGCCTTTTAAAAACTTGAACACAATTTCAATATTCAGAAATCAATGGAAGCGGAACGTGTGTAACTATATAGAATAAAAGGAATATTTGTAAATTTTAATAGTAAAAAGGAACTTTTACATTTATGTCTGTCTACTTGGACAAGCCTCAAGACAAAGCTCTGCACACTTAAAAAATGTGAGCGCACTGCAACTTTTGTCTCACGAAATGGGAAGTTGAGAACTTTTGTGTTATAAATATTTAATGTTTATACTGGGTGGAGAGCACCAAGAAGATTTATTGGAAATGCTTTGTTTTCACAGCAGTTTGATAGTTTTCTAACCAGTGGATTTTGGAAACAAGAGAGAAACAGAAAGTCTATTTCCTAGAAGACAGATGGAGATCATTAGAATTTATTTCACGAAAATAACCCAGATGAACACAGACTCAAGCAGTAAAAGAGTAAAGTACAGACCAGATAAAATATGTTTACTAAGTTACTGAACTTTCTGGGGACTGAACCACTAGAAAACATCTTTATAGCACCTTTAAATTCAATGTTAATTTATCTTCCAATTACGAGTGGGTCTGAGCTTGCCCATGGAAAATGTTTGTCCCAACTGCTGCACAAGTTGATGTAAATCTTCCCAATGGTCTTAAGAAGTATTTAGATCAACTTTTTTTTTACTTACTCCTATCTGTGGTCAAGCAAAACTGTCTTGGAAAAGTTTTCACACAGAGAGAAAGAGTCCTTTCACCAAAAGTCATCTGCTAGATGACCACTGATGACTCAATTTCTGTTAAGGAACATGCAACACATGAAGGAACTTTGCAGTAGTTTATTAGGAGGATGAAGAACAAGTTACAAAACCTGAGGCTCTGACATTTTTTGTAATCTAACACATCAGGTCAGGTTGTCCAAATAACTAATCACAGATCTTTCATGAAGTTAACATCAATTTCTAACAGAAACTGTTCTTCATGTGAAGACAAAAAGTGTATGATTGTACATAGGTATGAATGTTTCATGCATCAGAAAATAAAGCAAGTAAGGTGAGTCCAAATTGGCAGGACCTGAGCATATTCTGTGATTATTTGAACCAAAAATCATCTTAAAATCTAAAAAATATCCACCTTTATAACAAGCAACTTAAAAAGAAGATTCACTTGCAGCCCAGTTTCAGGGGGTTTGTAACCTAGAAACAACTTTTTAGTTCGATATCCTTTTTTTAAAGCATTCATATCCCAGGGGATTTTAGTACTGCTAATCTACTCTGCAATTGGAAGAACCACAGAATTTTCTGGCTCCTGAGGGAGAATTCATGATCACAGACAAGGATCATTATGTCCTTTAATGAGCTAGTTCTTGTTGCAAACCAAAGTGACAACAAAATTGTCATTTTAAGTTATGTACTAAATTATAATTAGATCTTACTGAGACCACTGTTGTGTTTTAAATAAAGTCTAACTTTTCCAGCTTAATGAATGATTTCAAAGTGCACTTCTAGAAAACTCTGGACAATGCCAAAGTTGTAACACAGATCTGGGTAAGCATGTGATTTTAGGATAACACACCAGTCTTGCAGTTTCCACATCCTACTGAGTTTCTTTTTTCTGTTTTCCTCTGCAAAGATACTGCCAGTCAAAGACATAGGAAAAAGCCTTCATTTTCTCTGGTGCCTGACCCTGTGTTTAACTGTGTAGACATTGTTTTCTTTGATCAGCTTAGTACAGCTAAAGGTTGTGACATATGAAATACAGATTTTTAACTCATATGTATGTTAAATAACCATTTTTTTCTTATTGAATAAATTACTGTGCAGATTGTTCTCTATTACCACTGAAATTCCCTTACAAGAAAGGCTGAATTTCTCCCTGCACAACATTCTCCTAAGCAATGCAAGCTTATGGCTGCATGATGTTACTGCATATTGTCTGTTAAGGACTTCAGCTCCATGGCATCCTCTTCTCCACCCACTGAGGGCAGTTAGGCCTGACTGAGGGGGATTCAAGTAAGGACCTTCAGATTTTCCTCTCTTACCCATATGGGCAATGGGTACAGAACTGAATGTAGGACTGCTTTAGGGAACCTGCTGCCCCGTATGTGTGTTAACTTTCATCAGGACCATTTATTACTGCAGAAAAATTCACATTTTTTTAGTAAATGGAAAACTTTATAATATCACTGTCAAGTACTTCCATCTGCAGGAAATAACTGCTACCACTCATCTCTTCTGTGATTCACACTTGCTATTAGTTTCAAACTGAAAGAGAAGTAATAGTGAGTAAGATGAAACAAGGCTTTGGTTTTGCTTTTCTTTAGCCTACACATTGCATTCGCCCATTTCTTTGGTAGTTATGAACTGAGGATATGTGCAAAACAGCTCAGCCGTGCTAGCAGGTATAGGCAAAAAGGCCATGATGTCAAGTGTAACTGGTTTGGGGGTTTTGTTTGTTTGTTTTTACCTTGAAGATACATTTCTTCTCCTTCTGCAAACATCTGACTGCACCTGACACATCGTGCGCACGTTGGGTGATAGTGTTTTTCTCCTGCCTGTTTGGGAAAAAAGGTGCAGATGATTAAGTATACTGATCAATTTAGCAGCTTCACTATAAGGAGAATTTCTTTCATCTTCTGGAATATGACTAATTAGAATAAATTAGTTAATGCCAATTAGATCAACAATCTCCTACAACCACAGTACTTATTTTTTATTAAAAACAATTCATGATTTAAAATATAATTACGGTCTTGCTTACACCAAAAAAAAGTTAATGTGCAATAGTCAAGGCTCTAAATTTACAGAATAGAAACAATTCTATAAGGTGAACACATTTTTCCTGTAGACAACCATGCTGTGCACTTTCAGCAAGGTAGCTTAGGACTCACCTGCAGAAAGAAGTTGGGAGATCATAGAATCACAGAATGGTTTGGGTTGGAAGGGACCTTAAAGACCATCTAGTTCCAACCCCCTGCCATGGGCAGGGACACCTTCCACTAGACCAGGTTGCTCAAAGCCTCATCCAGCCTGGCCTTGAAGACATCCAGGGATGGGGCAAAACCATCATAAGAGATCATAATCTAGAGCGTGTATTTGAAATTCACTGTGTGTCCTTCATGATCCCACTGAACATAAACTCAGTGCACAGGAAGATCCATCTTGTTCAAGGAATGTTTGTATCTGCTTTGAAAGTGGCTTGCAGGTAACAGATACTAAAGAGTTTCTGTGAGGAATGTGTATGGCATGCCCATAAGACTGCAAAGCTGCCATTTTTGGGTACTGTGCACTAAATCCCTCATGTAGACAAGCCAGGAGCTTTGCTAATTATTCTGAGATTAGTCCTCGTAATTTAATACCAACATTTTCACTGAGTGGAATGAGAATAGGACTGAGCCCTAAATTTGCTCACACCAGCTTAGTAACTCATCAATTTTCATAATTTTAGATTTTGAATTACCTTATAACCCCATTAATTTAAACTGTTTCACCATTGACTTTGGTGTGTTTTTCGAGCCATCTACCTGCTGAAAGAAGTCTATGTAAGAACATCAGTGTGTAACACAGACAAGGGTGAAGTTAACTGCAAGTGACTACCAGAAAAGAAAGCCAAGATTCATGGATCACAGGATTTATGCTGGACTCAGTTTTGGTAGCTTAGTCAAAATTCAATTCTATGGCCAACTGTGGGCAAACTTGTTAGCTCTGGTTGTCACAGGCAAGGTGAGCAGCACCAGAAAACAACGTTGGCTTGAGCCAGTGACAAAAACAGCATTCAGGGAGTTGTGATGACACAGGCCAGTTTCTCCAGACTGCACCCCTACTCTGTCTTTCAGATGACACTCACAAAACAGAGTTCAACAGCCAAAGTCAGCTCTTGAGCATGTTCCCAAAACTCCTCACTCTTCAAAACCCCTTAAAGAACTGAAAGCCACATCTTGGCATCTCCTTGCTCCTCTCTGACCACACACTCTTCTGTGATAGAAGAGGCCCATGGTTTAAGTGGCTTATGGTCAATGCCACTTCCATTATGTACAAAAGCCAGGAGACCAAGTAACTCTAAAGCTTAAAGCTAAATATAACTAAGTTTAACTTAAAGTTAAGCTAAGACTGACTTCAGTAGAAATTCTCCTGAAGTTAAAAATAAGTAAATTTTGGTCCACGTAGAATGACTCATAACCTGTTTATCTAGAAAAGTTTGAAAGGGCATTGTGTGTACCTTTAAGAAATTACTATCAAGCATTGTCCCACTGTCTACAGTATGTAAACATGTTCTCACAGCATTGCACTGTAAATCTCCTTTCTATTAATCTAGAAATTGAACCCTGTTACTACAGGGATGACTCATCTTACTTTTTTACATTGACTGAATGTCAAAGCCTTCAGAGGTATTTATACTAAAGACCATATTTTGTGTCTGGGGCCTATTTTGCCATTCACAATATCAAATACAGGAGCGTGATAAATTTAGGATAAAGAATACTTGGTTTTACTTCATCACTGTTAACTTGGTTCAACACTGAAAACTTGTTGCTGTATTTTAAATCAGCAATAAGGAAGAACAACGCATCACATCAGAACTGCCATTTTGAAAACAGCTTTGTTCCAGTTCATTGTTCTTTGCATGGTGTCATTTGTGCAGACTGCTGGGTGATTTCTGCAACTTTAGACATGGAAGAAGGTGACCACTACCTGTGTCAACACCTTAAAGTATCAGACTGTGAAGTATCAGTACTGGGTTCAAACTTCTGGTTTAAAATTGTTTGACTGATTGTAGCTGTTTAAGGACAGAAGGTTAATTAACTAATATGAGATAAAAAATCTGGAAAATCAAGATGAAAAGAAATATAATTTCCCTTGGAAGACATGTACTGCTAAGCAATGCACAGCCTCAATAATTCAACTGATTTAGCACAGCTGATATAATTCCTAGGCTAACACTCTCTAGGGGAATTCAATTACTCCTTTGCTAAAATAAATTGTCAGAACATTCTCAAATAACCCGGATGTATCACAGAATAAAATCTATTTTCCTAAATTTAACAGCACAACCAAATACATAATTTTAATTCACTCTGTAGAATAATTAATATCAACTACCTGTAGAATGACATAGAGACACCTTTTTATAGAACTTAGATACAATTATAACAGAAAAATCAGGGGGAAAAGGTGTAGCGATCCTTTTGTTGATGCTTACAGCAGCATAACTCCAATGGATTTTGCATAATTACCTCTGAATTAACATGGCACATATATGACATCTTTCTAAAGGAGAGGTGATAGCTGAATCTGAGGCTGGAGACTTGATGCAGGAATTAATTAATAATATTCCCTGATATGTTTATACAGTTAGCCTGATTAGACACCATAAATTATATTCAGACCTGAGTATGTTGGGTCTAAATGGAAACTATGACCCCACATGGGTACATGCCAAGGAGGCTTTCATCGGTGCCCCTTTCTCCTCTCTCTTCAGACTATTTCAGAGGCTTCATCCCACAGATGAACAATCAGTTCCAAGAGAGCACAGAAATTTTGTAAGCTTAGAGCAGCAACTGGTTTATGTTTTCAGTTTAGTTGTAATGATGGCCTCACTATTTTTTCTTTTCTTGGTTATATTGATGTGAGGGAGTTCTATGCAGCAAGCAAATTCCTAACCATATGGTTACTTCTTCTCTGCACAGTTTGAAAGCTTAGTTTGACAGATTGTTGTCTCAGCGTTTAATAAAATATCAACAGACCCAGAGCACAGAAGTGACATTCACCTCTGTTATGGTTCAAGTGGCAGATTGTAAGAAACCTCAGTATCCTACATTTGCTTCAAGACTGCACCAAGTCTTTGTGCCCAGACATCCAGACATGAAGACAGTATTATTATGAGGATCAATTGAAAGATCAGTTCTCAACTGAGATTTCTTCAAACTTGAATAGCAAAGCATGTCCTTAGGAACACAATACACTACCAACAGTTTAATTTCTCAAGTGACTACATCAGCTTTCCACAATTACTGAATCAAAGTCTTGGTTTGTAATTTAAAGGTGAAGTCAAAACAGCCTTTAACAGTGAGACAAAGTATTATGAATTACTTAATTCCCTTTAGATAGGAGGGATCACTTTGAATGGTAAATCTCCTCCATGTAGGAGGCAGAGCCTTCTGGGATGGGTCAGTGTGAGGAACGTTCTCCCAGCAGAGCTCAGGACCTCCCCAAACACCCTGCCCCAAGCATGGGGAACACTGCAGTGTTGCTACCTGTCCCATAGCACATCAACAAGTAAACCCATGCTTCACATAAAACAGGACCAGAAAGCTCTGCAACAAAGTACATACAACCAACTTCTATCATGTCTCATAACTTCAGGGCTTGAACAAAATAAAAGAATGAACCAGATGCAACAAATGTGAATCATATCATTTAAAGCACAATTGGAAGACAGTAATGGGTGTTACCCTGAAGTATGCCATGCAGTAGGAACACCAGGCCTGGGAAACATGCAAGGCTAGCAAAACTGGAGTAATTCATACCAGAAGGAATAACCTTAAGTAGTTACGGTTGGGTTTTAAATTAGCTGTCATCACTCAAGAAAAAGTACATTACTGCAGACAGCTCAGTGAGATCCCCCATCCCTCTGATGATTTTTGTGGACTATTCTGGACCCACTCCAACAGGACCATGTCTTTCTTGGGCTGAGGGTCCCAGAGCTGGATGCAGTACTGCAGGTGGGGCCTCACGAGAGTGGAGTAGAGCGGGAAAATCCCCTTCCTTGACCTGCTGTCCACACTTCTCTGGATACAGCCCAGGATACGGTTGGCTTTCTGGGCTGCCAGCGCACACTGCCAGCTCATGTCCAGCTTTTCATCCACCAGTACCCCCAAGTCCTTCTCTTCAGGTCTGCTCTCAAACCATACCTCCCCCAGCCTGTATTGAAACTGGGGGTTGCCCCGACCCAGGTGCAGGACCTTGCACTTGGCCTTGTTGAACTCCATGTGATTCACACAGGCCCACTTCTCAAGCTTGTCCAGGTCTCTCTGCATGGCATCCTGTCTCTCAAGCATGTCAACCACACCACTCAGCTTGGTGTCATCAGCAAACAGGGTGCATTTGATACCACTCTCTATGTCACTGATGAAGGTATTAAACAGTACTGGTCCAAGTATGGACCCCTGAGGGACACCACTTCTGTCAGTGATCTCCATCTGGACACTGAGCCATTGATCACTACCCTCTGGATGGGACTATCCAACCAGTTGCTCATCCAACAAACAGTCCACCCATCAAATCCATATTTCTCTAATTTAGAGGGAAGAAATAAAGTCAACAAAATCATTTAATGTGTGAAATAAACTCCAACTATTTGATTCCTTTCCTGAGAACTGAGTTTTCAGTAAGCTTTTCCCTGAAAAGAAAATAAATTAAAAATCTATCTCATTCTCAAAATGCACAGTGTTAATGGATGTCTTTTACTGGAGTGAGTAAAGAATTTGTGGAAGTGAGAAGAGGTTATACTACTGCATTGATCCAATGATATCAAAGAATATTTCAATTCTAAGGG